CAGAGTACTTGCCACCATCAAGAACTTGAAGGATGTGAGGGTGGTGATTTCCACTACATTCCTATTCAACTTGCCTATTTAGCCCGTGTAAAAATTAGGTAGATTTTGGAGAATGGCAGTGGATTATCATCAATTTAACCAGGGGTAACTCTAATTGCAGCCGCCGTTCCAGATGTGGTTTCATTACTTGATCAAACGAATACATCTCCTGATGCCTGGTATGCAGCTATTGACCTGGCTGATGCCTTTTCTCCCGTACCTATTTAAAAGACTATCAAGCAATTTGCCTTCTGCTGTCAAACCACCTTCACCATCTTACTTAAAGGGTATATCAACTCTCCAGCACTGTGTCATAATTTAGTCCGCAGGGACCTTAATTGTGTTCTCCTTCCATAAGATGCCATTCTGGTCTATTACATTGATGACATGCTGATTGGACCTAGAAATGAAGACGTATCAAGGACTCTAGACTTGTTGGTAAGACAATTTGTGTGCTGCTGTTGTTGCTGTTGTTAAGTGCTCAGAAACCCTGCATAGGATTTCTGAGGAACAGTTGGTGGGTTTGAACCACCAATCTTGTGGTTAACAGTCTAGTGCTTATCCTACACCATAATACCAGGATCCCATTTGTGTGCTGCTGCTATTGTTGTTAAGTGCTGTTGAGTCGGTTCCAACTCAGCTAATGGGTTTGAACTGCCAACCTTGTAGTTTGCAGTCCAGTGCTACTCTACAGCACCCATCAGGAGTCCTAGAGGGTGGGAAATTAACCTTATAAAAATTCACGTGCCTTCCACCTCTATGCAATTTCTAGGAATGTGATGGTGTGGGGTACGATGAGCTATTACTACTAAAGTAAAGAATAAGCTATTTTATCTGGTCCTACCCACAACTAAAAAGGAGACAACATATTGTTCTTTTGGGTATGCTATTCTGTTTATCAAGAGACTTAAAAACCTGCTGGTTTTGAGTGGGACCAAAACAAGAGAAGTTTCTGCAATAGGTTCAGGCTGCTGTGCAAGCCATTGTATTACTTGAACTATAAGGACCAGCTGATCCAATGGTCCTTAAAGTGTCAGTGGCAGATAGAAACACAGTTTGGAGTCTTTGGCAGGCCCCTATTGGTAAATTAAAGCATAGTCCCTTAGGATTTTGGAGGAATGTCCTGACATCCTCTGCAGGTAACTAGTCTCCTTTTGGAAAACAGTTTATGACTTGTTATTGGGCTTTTGTAGAGACTGAATGCTTACCACGGGCCACCATGTTACCATGTAGCTTGAGCTAGATATATCATGAACTAGATGTTGTCTGTTCCACAAAGTCACCCGCAACACTCCACCATTAAATAGAAGTGGTATATACAAGCTCAGGCTCAAGCAGGACCTGATAGTGACATGAGGAAGTGTCCCAAATGCCTATGGTCTCCATTCCTGTCACATTATATTCCCACTCCTAGTCTACACTATGGCTTCATGGGGAGTTCTTTACTTGACTGAGGAAGAGAAAACTTGTGTTTGGTTGATGTCTAATTCTAAGTGAACAGCAGCAGCACTTTTTCTTTCTGTAACTTCCTTAAAGGACAGTGGTGAAGGGAAATCGTCCAAATTTCCCTTTGAGGCAATTTGAACAGTTGAACAACTCTGAGCAACCTGGTTGTTCATTTTGCCTGGAAGGAGCAATAGCCAGATGTATACTGATTGATGGATCATGGCCAGTGGTTTGACTGCATGATCAAAGACTTGGAAGGAACGTGATTGGAAACATGATGACAAGGAAGTGTGGGGAAGAAGCATGTGGATAGAGCTCTCTGAATTGACCAAAGAAGTGAAGATTTTGTTTCTCCTGTGAATACTCGACAGAGTGACCTCAGCAGAGGAGGATTTTATCGGTCAAATGGATAGGGTAATGCATTCTGTGGAAACTAGTCATCCTGTTTCCCTAGCCACTCCTGTCATTGCCCATTGGGTTAATGAACAAAGTAGCCATGGTAGCAGGGATGGAGGTTATGCATAGGCTGAGCAGCATGAACTTCCACTTACCAAAGCTGACCTTGCTACATCCACAGGTGAATGCCAAATATACAATAGCAAAGAT